AATAGTTCATCACAATGTAAATAATATAATAAATTCATAAAATAATACAGATTATATCATTATACCATGAATTGGCTAAGGAAAAAATGTACCACGTTTAGCTGGAATGGATTTGGGGCATTTTTTTTCTCTTATTTTTGGATAATTCTTAGAGAGGATTGATCCTGGGAGTTTCTTTAGTAAGGGAGAGTTCACCAAGAGGTGAGCTAGGCACATCAAGAAGTGCATTACAGACAGTAAAAAGATCCAACTGGATATTAGGTGTGGAAAATTGATTTTTAAATTAGTTAAAGAGTAGCAAAAGGATAAACTAGGAAATAGGAGTGTATAAGGAAAAGAAAATACAATGTTCATTATGTTCTTGAACACTTGCAAGGTGAAGTCAGCCTCCATGAAATGAGGGGAAGATCCCAATTCAAAATTTAGCAACAAGATTTAACAGTGCCTTCAAGGTGGAGGGCTTATGTTTCAATAAGGGAAGAGCCTAATCTGTGGTGGCAGGATGAAAAGGGAGTAGGTTAAGAAGCCATTTTGAAGGGGAAAAACAAAACAAAACAGGAAGACTCTGTTATTGGCTGTTTAGAATCTCCTAGTGTAGCTATTTCCAAGTATTCTTAAGTAGCTTGAAAAACACTCTAATTGTGCGTTGGCCTTTTATTGCTACTAGGACATATGCAAAATGGCAGAATAGGCATTTTATTTTTGGTTCCATCCCAGTTTTATTTCTGCAGCCTTTACTCAATTTCTGATGCTGTATTTATGTTACCTTTGAGCATCCAAGAACCACAGTTGTTGCCTTCTGGTAATGTTAGATGCTCATTGTGGTATCCCGACCCCCACCAGAGCTACTGGACTACATACAATATTTCTTTATGAATTTTATTCTCAGCTAGATATTGGGAGGAAGTAATCTAATCATGTAATTAAAGGTATTCACAGTAAGCTGTGATAGGCTTAAACTTCTCTCTCTTGCCTTAGGAAAAATGTTAGACTAACCTGGTTGGTGACATGGGTATTTCCATTGTCAATAGAGAATATTGGAATGTGGCCTTTTTGAAGAACATATTGTTAAAGAAGACAATCATTCTTCAAGTAATTTTGAGGTCATTGATTTACTCTTTTCTCTAATTCATAGATTTAATTTTTTCTGAGTTAGTCATTTATTTTGTTTTCATATGACCAAATACGTAGAGATCAAGCTAGAGGGGGAACACAGACTTTGGAATTTTTTCCAGCAAAGATTAATTAGGGGTCCATTATCATTTATATTACAAAAGCTTCAAATATAAGGCAAAACTCAACTGAAGTCATTTGTAAATCCCCTGCCCTCAAGCTTATTCTGATTCAAAGTGATCCTGTAGTCATTAGTCATGACTGAATGTTATAATCACCAATAATGGAGGAATACTAAATCCTGAAATATGTGGGAATGCCATTGCTCCTATCTCCATATCCTATCATTCCTCCTTTGAGTAATGAATGGATCCTAAATCATCATGAAATTAAAATGAGATGACTTTTATCCACAAATATAAACTAAAGAGAGATGATTGTTGTTGTTAAGTGCCACTGAGTTAGTTCTGACTCATGGCGACCCTGCTCCAAGGAGCAGCTAGTAGGTTTGAACTTCCGACCTTATGGTTCACAGTCCAATGCTTATTCTATAGCACCACACAAGGAGTCCAAAGAGAAATGATTAGAGCACCAAAGAAAGGCTGTCTAGGTAGTTTAATGTAGCCAGTGTTATTGTTATTGTTAAGTGATATTGAGTCAATTCCAACTCCGCTGATGGATTTGAACTGCTGACTTTGTGGTTCACAGTCCAGTTTTATCCTACAGCACCACACCAGGAGCCCAATGTAGTCAGTGGAAGTTTAATGTAGAAAGTTTTAAGAATGCCCTATGATAGGGTTATCTGATGCCAACAAATCTATTTTTTTGTTTGTTTGTTTAGTCAGAAATAGAGGGAATTAAGTAAATTTTCAGTCTGTGGTAAAAAATGATGCTATGTATAGAATTTCCTGTAAGTAAGCATCAGTAGTTTAATAATAATTTATTAAGTTATTCATAAAAATATCCTCAGTGATTATTGTGTGTTGTCAAGTAATTTCTCACTAATAGTTGCCCTGTATGACAGACTAAGCTCTGGTAGCGTAGTGGTTACGAATAGGACTGCGAACCAGAAGGTCAGAAGTTCGGAACTACCAGCTGCTCCGCGGGAGAAAGATGAGGCGATCTGCTCCCGTAAAGATTTACAGCTTTGGAAACTCTATTCAGGGTCGCTATGGGTCGAAACCGACTCGACGACACTTAACAACAACAACAACAATGACAGACTAAAACTATCCCATATAATTTCCTAGACTGTCATTTTTGTGGGAGCCGATCTCTAGGTTTTTTTTCCTGTGGAGTCACTTCTGGGTTCAACCTGTACAATTGGAAGTTGAGCGCTTAATCACTGTATCACCGGGACTCCTTCATTGCTTTTCCAGACCGGCTTTTAACCTTTCCATAATCAGTCAATACTTTTTTCTCTATCCACATCCTGTACCTCTCTTCTTCATCATTCGGAGCCATCACCAAAGTATGCACTCCATATCATTCCATCCAGATTCCACTCTGGAATCCTTTTCCTCCTATCATTTCCATTTTGAAATGGTTACTCGGTATTCTCAGGCCCACTCAAGTGTTACATTTTCCTAGAGACATACTTTGAGGATGAGCTAGTGCTCTTCCTCTATCCATGTTATTTTCTTTATATTTTATAGCCTTTTGTGAAAATCTTCATTACAATCCTTTTCACTCTATTGTAACAATTGATTTTATCTTTCTTTCTCACTAGGCTGAGAACAGCTAAAAGCCAAACCAGAGAAGTCTCTCTTTTTTTCATTTTTTGTATCCCTAGCACTTTAAGCAGTGTCTCCTTCATTGCTAGGGAATAACTGAAAGTTCACAACCTGCTCAACTTTACTACCCCAGCTTAGATGTTGATTCTGCCACACAATCCACCTTGGTTTCCTTAGGTGAAAGCAAACTCTCCCTCTGTATAATCATGCCAGTCTTTTATGTATACCTTTTTTATAATGATTTTCATGTTCTAGCTAATTTCATCACTGTTTAAAGAAATGCTTTATTTACACTAGCCAAACCATAATCATGTCCAGTGCCATTACATTTCTACTCATAGTGACCCAATGTAGGGTTTATGAGACTGGAAATCTTTATGAGAGTACACATCTTCATCTTTCTTTCATGGAATGACTGGTAGGTTTGTACTGCCAACTTTGTGGTTAGCAGCCCAATCAACACCAAGAACATAGTTAAGATAAATACTGAGTTGAATGTATCTTACCCCAAATATTATTTTTAAAGTAGCATGTTCAAGCAAATCCACATTACGTTAAGAAAATCATTAAGTGATTAAACATTTTGAAGTGTAAGACAGAAATAAAAATACTATGTAAAACACACAGTTGAATCAGTGCTCTTTGACCTTGAACACAGATGCACAAATCTGAATATTTTCCTATATAGGGATAGTACTAGAGTTAAAAGAGCAATAACTATGCACATACAAACAGAGTGAGATTAGCCTGAAAGGTCTATGACAAAGGCTGCTGCGAAGGCAATGACAATGGAAATAAAGCTTCTTAAGGAGTAGAATTAACTGGATTTATTCACTGCCTTTGTATGGAAAGAACCAAAGATAAATGAAGTTTAGAGCCAAAAAGATTGGATGGATGTTTGTATTATTAATTGAGGATAGAATAATATCCTTCTGAAAGGAGAGGAGGAGAAAAGAAATCCACTGTTGAATTTGAAATGCCTTGGTGGCACCATGCGGTAATAAGCTGGAAGAATGAATCTGGAACACAGGAGGGAGATAGAGACTGGAGATATTTGCTACATACGTTGAAGCAATGGGAGTGAAAGCATTTACTCAAGGAAAGAATGTAGAATAAGAAGATGAATGATAAAAGTCAGGCAATAGAAAAGCTATAATAACCATACTGCTCTGGATAAATTCCTTGAAATCATAAGCCTTGTTTCCTTATTCGTAAAATGGGATAATATCAACCTTCCTGTGATTAAGAATATATCCATATGTAAAGTGCCTGGTCCATGGTACTTCTCAACAGATGATTAGTTTAGACCAGCAAGTCTGCACTATATTTAATAACTTTGAGATAACAGCATGTTTTGAGGCACAGGGTAAGGAACTTGTGGGTATGGAAAGGTTTTATATATTTGTTCTAATATATCTTGGATGTAAGAACCATATGAGTGTAAGGGAAATGAGGTAAGAAGAATTGATTGGAATCAAATAAGGGGGGATTTTATATGAAATTGTTAGGAATTTGGACATTAGCACATAAATATAAGGGCCACTCCATATAGGTTACCAAGGTTGTAACTTTTATTGACCTATACAGCTACATCTTTCTCCTATAGAACAACTGTGGGTTTGAACTCAAACTTTCAGTTAGTAGGTGAGTGCTCAACCACTGGGCCTTGAAGGCTACTTGTTTTATGTACCTAGTTTTCAAATATTCATAGAATTTTCCCTCGTGGTTTAATGGCTAGGGGTCGACATCCATGGAAAAGAGATTACAACAAATTATTTGGATGGGGCTACATGCCAGACTGTAAAGCCATTTGAACTGCAAGGTTGGTGGTTCAAGCTCACCAGCTGCTCCTCGGAAACCCTCTACAGGATCCCTATGGGTTGGAACCCAACTTGATGGCACTGAACAACATCAGACATATAAAAATTTCTTATATCCTTGGGTCTCAATTTTGTGATGACCAACTCTACTCATACCACCAAACTGAATTTTAATACCCTTTTAT